GATGTTGATGTGTAGTTTGTCAATATCTTTGTTGTTCAAAATATGTATTAGATTAATTTGCGAGGTAATCAAACGTGGTTAAGTTGACGTGAATTGAATAACTTAAATTCTATATACGATGAAAATAGATTTGGCTATGTTAATCGATCATTGGCTGCAAGTATAACACATAGTACCGTGTGTCGAGATTCACAAAATGGATATCGAGGTTTTAACGCTTTTATAACTTTTATTACATTAACCCTACCGCTATAAATGACACATCAAATTAAAAAGGAACTCGAAGAATTTTACATAAAAGTTTTTTTTCAATGTGAGCACCATTCGAAACACAGCACAAGACAAGAAAATGTTTACAATGTCTAATTGTCTACATTGAAAACGGGGGGTTTCACATTTTATATTTGGAGGCAACTTTGGCTACCTTTATTAAGTATTTTCAAGAAATGCTTCTCGCCATTTAAAAGTTATTTTGAAAAGGTTAAGCAGCCTCCGAATTTAGTGGTAAAAAAATACCATGTTATTGATTTATTTTAAACTTTGTACAACTAGGCTAAATCTACAGTTCTACTGGATCGATTTTTTTAAATAATGTGTCGTTGGAAAGATTCTCTTTGAGTTGATTTTTCATTTGATGTGTCAATTATAGCGGCAAGTTTAATGTAATGCAAGTTATAACCCCGATATTCATTTTGAAACACCCGTTACCTATAACAAATTAAATGTTAAGGGAAATTGCATAGAAATAGAAATAAGAATAAGAAATAAGATATTTATGTTTATTATTTTCAAGTTTATATACTTTTTACCATGAGAGACGTACTATAACTTCTTCTTTTGAGCGTAATGATTGTCAAAATAAGTATGTGGAAACTGATATCGTCCCCTGGCAAATGTGAAATGTCAAAAGTTGTATATAATTTTAAAGCTTGAAATGCGTAGAGGTCTTTTATACAATTTGGCAGGTTTTAACACGGCGTATGAAAGAGTTTTCTTAAGCGAGATGGCACACCCTTTTTAATGATTTTTCCAAATGTTTATTAAAGTTGAATTCAAGCTACAATGTGTTATATGAATTTGGCTGTGCCAAACTAAATGTTTTTGATAGAATATTTAATGGGGGTTCTAAAAATCCATTGTAAAAAATCATTATGTTGGCTAGGAGTTAGGAAAATTGAGATATTATTCGACAATTTCATTAAATTTTGAAAAATCTAAAAATTGCTGTTGGCGGGAGTATGAGTGGGACATAACTATCCAAAATGGGTATTTTATCGCAATTTGCGTGCCTAACAATGCCTTAAAATATTTGACACTTACTACCAAACACCCTTGGCAGTTATGCCAGTGAAAGTAAAGTTAAGAAGTAATGTAGTTTTAAAGTTCCAAATTGTTCAATGATCATATTTTCATAGCCCCCAAGTATATAATTTAATCTCATAATAACACAACGAATCAGTTAAGTTTTGACAGTTATGCCCGTTAAAGGGAGGTTAAACCCCAGTTTTAATGGTGAGCACACAAATAAAAATATTTCATCGCAAAAATCCACAATAAATAGTTGATGTTTTGTCAGTTATATGAAGTTAAAATCCAATTTAAAACGTTGAGCTCATAAATCAAAATATTAAATCTAAAAAAACAACAATGATCGGGGATGTTTCGATAGTTATATTAAGACTATTCAATCTCTAAAGCCCACAATGAATCGATGATGTTTTGACAGGTGTACGAGTGAAAGGGTTAGCCACTTACTTTGCTCTTGGACGGCACCATGGTGCGAAGTCTAGCCCGCAGTGTTGGCATGGTGGACGCCGACGTCGACACGCTGCCAACTGAGCCCCACCACCGTCGCGACGCCTCCCCCACCTCCCATGGGGTGTCAGGGGGTGACTTGGTACTTAGGCATTACATGGCTCGTATTGGAACCTACTTACAAAGTGATCGGTGCAGTGGAGCCTCGAAGCAAATCACCCTTGAAAACCTGTATCACTTTCAAATCCTCTAGAATTTATTTTCTCGCTAATGTTATTGAAAACCTCAGTAAGGAATCAACCTTGATAACGAGTATTTTTTATTCCTATGAGTCTTGGTATCGAGGTTCCACTGTAGTTATCAACAATGTGTGATTGTTTGCCTGCTAAATTCTTAAAAATAAAAATATAAGAAATGTTGAAAATAACAGTGGTTTTATCATTACAAACCTAAACCCAGCTCTAACCTAACTACGCGATTGTAAGTATGTTCGTGGAGCTAACCCAATTGATAATGCACACAAAGGCCACTCAAAGACGTTCCAGCCGGAAATTAATATTTCCTTATCGGTGTTTATTTAAATGGTCGAATAGAAATCAAAACTCTTACGCATTTTCTGCTATACTGTGACGTACCTTGCCAAACACTTGCGCGTTTCAACGCTCCTAAAGTGTACGGTGTATTTACAACCTTGGGTGTACACGTAAGCCAAGAAAACACATCCCCAATATAGCGCCTGCAGTCCCAATCACGCAAATACGTAACGTCAAAGTAGTGCCTGAACAGTTCTGCAGTTGCAGGCACTAATTTGTAACGTAATCCATTCACTATGAAATTACACCGTCGTTCGTTAACTGTATGTCTATAGTCAATGTAAATAAACTGTATCAGCAATCAGACACATGCTTTCTCCAATTAGCTTGTCAACAACCTTTATCATGATGTGTCAGCAGTGTGAGTGTGATTAATTATATTTTATGGGGAAAATCACAACGGTGACAATGTCTTTTTAACAATACTTTTTACAGCAATGGCGGTTAAACCATTTTGTTTAGAGCTCGAAGGACTATAAAATACTAGATTTTAATCAAATTCTTTCGAGCAGTTATGGTGAAAATCAGATTTTTCCATTATTTATGAGTTATTATGGAAAATCTCTAATATCGAAATTTTAAATAAATGCTATAGGGGTATGGGGAGCAGTATACTATATGGAATGGGAGTCTTATTAACTTGTCAACAAACCTTATCTAGGTAAGCGCTAAATAGGTATGTTATTTTATGGGGCAAATCACCTGTAGGTTGCAATATCTTTCAAACCGATAATTTTTTGTTGTACAGGCCAGGCAAAATAAGGCATAGAAGGTAAGGATGCCCCTTACTTTGTCACCTAAATATTGTGATTTCTCAGCTATTTACAATTCGACCTTTTTGATCTTGGTGTGGTTTGAATTATAGATAATTTTAAATTCTAAAAAGTGTACTTGACTAAACCAGCCAAGTCAGTTAAAAAATTTAAAAAAACACACAAAATGGCAGATATATTGCTAACGAAGATTTAGACAAAATTTTATTCTTGATTTTCACCCTTTTTTTGACACATTTTAAAACCTCTTGCCAAAGTTGTTGTCCCTCATACATTGTTTTCAACTTTTTGTAAGTACACAGTAGGCCTCCTTACTTACAGGACACCCTGTATTTTATTTCAAATCTACTATCCATCACATGACACCTAAGGGACTTAACCTAACCTAAGGGAGATAACAGAATTTTGATCGCAACAAAAGGCTCATTCTTAACAATATTAAAGTTAAACAAAAATTGGCTGCAAATTGTCCCATGTAGTCTCGATGGATAGCTTTTTCAGGATCAAAACAAAGGGAATGGTCAAAGCCACCACCCTTACTCATTGGATTCCTATATCGAGCGGCCAAACACGAACTTACTAATCGTCATTGATGACTACTGAAGCTCTAAGTTTCAAAAGAAAGCTAATTAAAAAATTGTTTTTTGGTGCTGTCCTGAAAGCTGAAACTATAGGAAAGTAAATGCACAAGAACAAATCACAAGGACCGTCAGGAGTGCTCGTTTTCTCACCCAAAGTATTCCTACTGTTAGTTATATTTCAATATGAATTTTCAAAAACAGCAGAAATTCAGCACCAAAATAAACCGGACATGAGCTTAAGAACGTTAAACTAAAACGTCTTCTTGTTGATGAAAATCCAACAACTTCATTTTAATTGCTTTACTTTTACGTACATACATTTTTCAGTTACAAAATCTATGCAATTTTTGTGATCATCCCCACAAAAATGCATAATTACCTTTGCAGGTTACCCAGTATGATCCTAGTGCCCATTTAAATTCTAATGTCAAGCGAATAAAAGAAAGCACGTGTCAATTTGCGAGGAGCAAGTTCCTACAGTATGTACCTGATGGACTGGAAAGAGATTTATGTGGTATATAACACAACAGGGAGATCAGGGAGTATGATGATATTAGGATAGTACCTAATCTTAACCTAAACTTATCCAATTAAACTACCTCCTAAAAATCAGAATTTAGTCACTGCACTACTCAACCTTATTCCTGATGTTGGTTTAATACAAGTTTAGCTGAATTTGAGGGGATTTTACAAATGGAAAAATTACTTACACCAATGGGAGGTGAGAATCAAGCTGCAGAATACAGTACAACTAATACAAGTGACATCAGTTACTAAAATAAGGTTAGTATTCTATGAACCCGAAATTGTGCATAGGTACATTTCATTTGAGCAACTAGGTTTAAGGATGAATTCCATCAAGGTGTGAGGATGAAAAATCAACATAATTATTAGAGATGAAATTGATTCAACATGATTTATATACGGTAACACTACTGTGGGTAATGGTAGTGCCAGTATTTAACTTAGTAGGCCTATTCCAATTACCTCTCAGTATGAGGTATAAGGCTACAACTGTTTTAAGTGGTAAGTGAGGTTAAAAATCCCTGATTGGGGAGATTTCAGAGTGAACAAGCACATGGTAACTAACTGCACTGTAACTTGAAACAACTGAACTATACAATTTACCACACTGAAGATCATCTACGCCTGCCACCTATTTAAATAAAGAATGTCAAGCTATGCGCTTATTGGTGGGTATAAGCAAGGTAAAATAGTTTAAGACTAGTTGTTGTTATCGACCTAGGTTTATATTAAACCAATATCCACTAAAAAGATGTAGTTAGAAGTTTACTCACCAAGCTTCAAATTGTAGGTTATGACTGGTGACGCCCTGTTATCTATCGCACAAGAAACTTATTCATTTAAAACTTGAACACCTGTCGTGGGACTTGATTTTGATCGATTTCAACTGTTATTTAGTTTCTAAGACGACGGCTCTATTGATTGTTGATCAACAAGTTGTTGGAGTATGCTTGTTCTTTCAAATTTAGCAGACGGTATGGTTTTTTTTAGTAATGACATTTGGATTTGACAGTCAGCCTGCCAGCTGGTGATCATTCCATTGAATAGCCAAGGGGTGCGGGAATAGCCTAGGTATTATCGTTGATTATATAATCGGGAGATGTATAATCATTAGTATTATCGAATGGTTGCTTATTTGTTTCCTTATCACGATGACAACCTGCCACCTCAAGAGGAGGTGGACAAACCCTTGAAGCCAAGAGGAGGTATCAAGCGATAAAGAAAGATTACCAGGTGAGTTTAGTACGGTCAAAACAAGAACACAATACCAATTTCATTGAGTCCTCTCAAAATTCTTGTGCTGCCGCTTGGTCTGTCATCAAAAAAGAGGGGGGCCCTGCAAAAGCAAAACCAACTACTAGACTTTCTGCTGAGGAGCTGAATGATTTCTTCATTAATTCTGTCCAACAGACTCGGGATGCAATTGGTACTCCACCAACCCCCGCTGTAAACCTCCTAGCCCAGCATCCTAGACCAACATGTTCTTTTAACATTGAACCTGTCTCTTGTGAGAAAGTGCTATCTGTTGTACATAAGATGAATAGCTCTAAAAGTAAGGATGTTTTTGATCTCTCTGCAATCTTAATTAAGACTGTGATTTATAATATTTTAGTTCCACTCACCTATTGTATCAATGTTTGTATCAAGGAGGGCGTTTTTCCAGATGTCCTAAAAACAGCCAGATGAGTAGTCCCTGTCCATAAAAAGGGGAACCATAATGTGCCTGAAAATTTTAGACCTGTATCTATTCTCCCTGTGTTTGGTAAGATTTTTGAAGATAAGGATCAAATGTTACCTTATTTTGAAAGTAATGGACTGCTTGTGTCAGCCCAGTATGGTTTCAGATCAGGCCGTTCCACAATTGATGCAGTTGAAGTTCTGACTGGGGTTGTTTTAAAATCATTTAAGAGGGGAGGCTTTGCTGGGGCCACAATGTGTGACCTCATCAAGGCTTTTGACACCGTGGACCACAAATTTTTTCTTGACAAACTCCATTTTTATGGAGTTAGGGGTAAGGGTTTGGACTTACTGGGATCATACTTGGGTGGGCGCAGACAGTTTGTCTCTGTAAATGGTCAGTCCTCTGTTGTCAAATCTTTAACTCATGGCGTCCCACAGGGGTCTGTCCTTGCTGGGCCCTTGCTTTTCAACATAATGATAAATGACCTTTCTTTGCATTTGGGAGAGGGGGCTGTTTGCTATGCAGATGACACTACTGTGATTGGGGTAAATGATAACTTAAATGTCCTGCAGGGCACTATGTCTCAGACTCTCCAAATGGCCTCGGCGTGGTTCCGAGCTAACTTTCTCTTCCTGAATGAGAGTAAGACTCAGTCCATAATATTTAGTCTTAGACAGCTTAAGCAAGATGTCACAAGCGTTAAACTACTTGGATTAATGTTGGATCCTAAGCTGGATTGGAATAGTCACATATCTTTTGTATGTAGTAGACTTTCCAGGGTGATTCACTTGCTCAGGAACTTGAAGAACTCTGTACCCACTGAATGGCTAAGAACTGCCTACCTTGCCTTTTTTCAGAGCATAATTCTTTATGGTTTAAGACTTTGGGGTGGCACTCCGGGAGTCGAGAGGGTTTTGACGCTCCAAAAGGCGGCAGTCAGAATCTTGGCAGGTGCTGATTTTCTAGACCACTGCAAACCTATCTTTATTTCTGAATCCGTTATGACAGTGTACAGCTTATATATTTACCAATCTCTTCTGTGTACTAAGCAGGAGTCAGGCTCTCTCAAACTTCGAAGTGATATCCACCCTCACAATACTAGGAGGAAGGACGACTTGAATGTACCCTATGTTAGATTAAGAAAGGTCCAATCTAGCTATTGTATACAGAGATATAAGTTTTTTAACAAACTCCCTTGTACAGCTCGGAACTGTGATGATAAATAAGTTTTGTTTTTGTTTTTCAATTCTCTGCATGGTGTGTTGCAGGCTTAGGCTAAGATTTTGATGTATTGACGTTTCCTTGTACATGCTTTCAGGAAATAAATAATTCTCATTCTCATTCATTCTCACCTCAGTTTTTCGGTCAGAGAAGACAACCCGCCACCAGAAAAAAAAACTGATGTGGCAGGTTGACGTGTTGTTGTCAACTATGTGCCACCACGGAACCCTGTAACCACCAGTTTTTTTCAGAGGGGTAGGATTGTCGTAAAGCTCTATTTGTTGCCATCTACCCGCCACCTTGCTTGTAGGTGATTAGGCGCTACCCCGACGACCCACCGCAATTTTTTTACTAGGTTGTCGTGTGCGTTCCATGTACGCTGCCGCCTACCCGCCACCACGCACGGCAGTGACAAGTTACAACCACCACCTTCCATCGTGACCACCACCAACACACTAAGACGTGGCAGGTTGACATGTATGGGCTATTAATTAACAGCTGTGTCTAAGGAATATGCCGGCCTTAGTCACTAACTATTGTTTGGATTGAGTATTGTTTGAATAGTGTCGATTCTGTAAAGTTTCTTTTGGATTTTGATTTCACGGTGCATATTAGCGAATTCCCCATACAAGGGATAAGCTATTAAAAATCTGTTCTTTACTGTTTGGCAAAAGTTACTATGACTGATTATCGAACAGGGTTGTCTCATGTATAGCCCCTATATGGCTATAATATGGACTCTTTTTTTAATAACATTTGCAATATCACCTTTTATGTTGAATTTGTCCTTCATAAAGTTTGTATATTATATTCCTATGCGTCTACGCTTGTATTTCGCTAGCATGTGTGGCATCTTTAGGGCGTCTTCTTATGTTACAACATTACACTGAAACCGTAGTAGAAATATGTACAATTAATTCATTATATACACACGCATAGCATAGCCTGTATACACCCATGTACACACACTAAATAGCCATATATACACACTCATTGTCAAGGCCCTACTAGAAAAACAACACACGCGTGCTGACCACCTTTGGACCCACGTAATCGTCACAATGTTACTAACGGCCGGGTTTAGTTAGTAACGTGAAATTTTCATCAATAACAAAACCAAAGAAATGATCGATACATGTCCATAATTTACCAGGAAAATTAAACTGTCAGTATATAGGCTTTTTCATTTACTAAATAAACATACACTACATTCAATATTTTGTTAACCAATAACCGTTGGAAATATACTTCATATAGTATCGTTGTTCTTTGGCGTCAGAAGTCTGCTGTAGTGGCGACTTGTTTATTTACCATACGTTATGGCGTGATGACTTCTACGACAGCAGTTCCGTCAAAATGTAAGTTATATTTTGTTTTTTGCGGTTTTTGTCATAGTTAAGTTAGATCGTGAAATTTCGACATTCTAGTTTTGTATTTACTATATATTTTAGTGTAGCTTCTTGTGGAATATCTCACCAATAACAGAATTATAGGTAATTATTGTTTGGTGTTTGGTTGCCAAGGCCCTTTCAGAACCCATTGAATAGCCCTAGCTACCATAGTAACAGTATTTTTCATTTAACATTAACTTATTATATCTTGTTCTTGTTAATTTGTTATATAGAACTTCTAATGCCTTCCAACCACTGTTCCATTGTCTATGTCGCATTGTTTGTTCCTCGTGGATTTATCTAGAAATTACCCTAAAGGCTAGCAGAACAAAATTATTAGAACTTGGCCTAGGCCTGGCCTAACTTAGGACTACTTTAAGTTAGCCTAAATATTCACCAAAAGGCTAAGTCAAGGTAGGTATCTGTTTGTAGTTAAAACTTCCCTAGATATCAACAATGCGGGTATAGTTTCTTAACTGGGCTACGCTAATATCGATTGAAAGTATCGATTCGATTAGTAAACCTTCATGCGATTTTTTCACCATCAGCAAGTTTGGTTGGTTAGGTTAGGTTATGATACTTAGTTTTATTTTATATAGATATATTTAAAAATATCGATTATTAATCAATATTTTCAATTTGATAGTTTCAATAAGAAACTGTACCCAACAAGGCTACTTATCTCCTGAATCAGCTTTATGTTAGTTATTTTATCGTACCTCGTTATCATTTTATCATGGCATCTGGTTAAAAGTAGGGCCTACACTTAACCCTATATTGCCCTCGCCTAACTTATCACCATAATCATGTTTTAATGGATTTATAAAATGAAACAACAAGCAATTTAACTTATTCTTAACATATTACATACCGGTACCTTAATGTTGCCTGTACTAAACTTGTAGATTAAGATTTATTAAACTTTAGTTTTCTCTATTAGGTAGAAACTGTTATTAGAATAGCTTAAGTAGTTTTTAATAATTAAAAGAGTCAATACGCTACAAGATTATACTTCAAGGTCCTTGCAGAGTCTCTTACCATGATAAGCACAGCACTTCGTAAATTAAATTAGGTTTTTTATACGATTTTCATGAGCAAATCATTAAGCCAAAATAAATCCTAATTAACAACTTAGTACAGTAGGGCCTATATTGTGTACGGTAACATATAACTTAGTACATAACATGTAGGCTACATATATTCATTAACGCCAATGCCTGCACGGGTAGAAAATCCCCTGACAGGCCTGAGTATAGCCCTACAGCGCTAACTTTGCATAAGATATGTAGCCATCACAAAACTGGTGCTATATCAACCTAGACTTCAAGGTAATCTAGTAAATGAGTCTAGTGGAAGGTACTCTGAGGGAGGGAGCAATGGGACTCTTTTTTGCGTACCTATTTAATCTCACATTTAAGGAGTGCCTGGAGAAAATTTACTCTGTGTGGGCACTTTAGGGTTAAAAGAGCATTAAGTTTCTTAATCTGGTAGCTTTCATTCTATTTTAACAGAAAAATTCCTAGACATCAATGAAATCCCAGGTGACAGCCTGTTATTGTTTAGTTTTTGAGTATGGTTCAGTTGGTTTGGATGACGAGATTATCGTACAGCTGGGAATAATTGGCCTAGCAGGTACTTTGGTATCATACGGAGGCCACATATTTTCAGTGCGCTGCAGCGGGTATGTTATGTTGGGTTATCATAAATATGTTTGTAGGACTTTCCTCACTTCGCTATGAATCAAACAATACCAGATGAGTCATACTTTCTATTTATGATAAGTTAAACCCAACCTAACAACCACCGCAGCGCACCGTATCAGGGTGGCCTCCATTTAATACCAAAGTACCAACTAGCGTACTGTAAGTTTATATTTGTATCATCTGTTTAAATTATTTTCATACATTACATTCTGTATTATTTAACTTAGCCTATGTAAAATTGATATTCGGAAGTATCCTGGTGTCATTGCGTACCATTGTCATTTGAATCATTTGCTGTAAAATAGCATTTGTTGAGTTGTAGGCCTACCCATTAGACAATCCATTTTTTAAATTTATGGTAAAAAGAACTCTAGGGCTTGGACTGTTATTATTCCAAAATGATTATCCAAGCTTAAGGCCAAGGTTATAAAGTTTATTTCTATGTGTTTACTTACAGTATTTTCACACTGAATCCAAAAATACAATTTCAGAGCCATAAGTCAGAGTTTTAGAGACAAGAGTCCTAAGATAAGTGCTACGTGGCGATTCTATTCACAATAAAATTGTTCCAATACTTGAGAGGATCGGACAAGAGGGTAGGAAAGGCTAGGATATAATGTGGAGAAGATGATTAATTAAGTCAATAACTATTTAACCCTCCGTCAGTTGTATCTATTTTATAACGCTACCGGTCGCACTATATATTTCTGAAGATATCTTTCATTTTTTCTTAAACTTTTTTTAAGTACGGTACTTTAGACATATATTTCCTCCCTAATTTTTATTTTACTTTATAGGCTATAACAACTCTTGACCTAGCCTATATATTTCATAGGCTACATATTTCACACCGTCTAAGCATTTCTCAATTAGTAAAAAAACATTGTCAGACCATACACGACTGTATCCATTAGTATACAGTTCGATCAAGCCCATCACACTGTATGTAAAATTATACTCAACATTTTCTTTCCTGGGTAAAAACAGTTTTATTTATTTCTATATTTAATGGAATTACTTAGTTCATTGTGTATGATATAACAGATAGGCCTATATCTCTTATATCACATAAAAACGAGATCGGTCCTGTTTTTATTTTGAAATGCATCACAAAATAAAAACGGGACTGCTGGTCGCACTGTATATATCAGATACAACAAAGCGAAAAAAGATATGTGTGCACGAAACAACGCAAACAGCGATACTGAGGTGTGAAGGGGAAGGGCAGGAAGCAGCACAGTGGCCAAGACAGGTTTTGGGAAGGGAACACGAAAATGGCAGAATTTGTTCATGTTGTGGTATTTAATAGATTAGGTGCGTCCGACGGAGGGTTAAAGGCCGTTACAATGCAAAGGTTTTCATACGTCAAAGGCTTCTAGAAATGCAACTCATGGTTGATCATGACTAATCAGTTCAAATTTAAACATATGAGGAAGATCTGGCTTTATTTGGATTCAAGACTGTAAGGTTTTTGAAGATAGGTTAGATTAGGAAGGTAAAGCTTAGGCTATAATGAACTGAGTTATTACTTTAGGCCTACCTCCAGACTGTTTTTGAACAATTGAAATAACCGAGTGGGCTATGTACTTTCACATGTGATGGTTTATATTATTCTGGGGCAAGATATTGTCAAATTTGGTCAAGAAAGCAATTTTTGTTTTTGTAAGCCTAAAGAAGGGAAGGTTTACTTCATGGTTTTTTCTTGTCTGATGCGTATGGACTGTGCTTCTAGTTAAAACATTTTACCTATCAAAAATTTGATTCTGATGAACAAGGGTTGGCATTTGCTCAATCTTCTGCTTAACGTTCTGATCCTACCTTCTTTTGTTGCAATAGAACTTTGTTGTAGCTAGGCGCGTATTCCCACAGCGCTCAGTAGGCTATAGCTTGGCACACTATGAAGAAAGTGTAGTTGAATACCAGTTAGTACCTAGATAGTGTAGCCAGTGTGGGTACTAGCTTAAAAATTAACTTCGATTTGTAGGCCTACAACCGATGTTAGTTTAGGGTCAATAGCCTAGTTAAGCGTATGAATTTTGTTTCATTCTGAGCATATCGAATTAAGGTGCACATTCCTCATTTGCGTCTCCTCATTCAGCTACTTGGACGGTACGCGCCAGGCTTTGTACGCCTGATCTTGACTGTGCAATTTCACGTTATATTCACACACTGCATGTAAGAAAGATAAATTATAAATTTAAACTCTTCAACTCTTATACCTGCATGCAGATTTCTGATACCGTACTCCTCACGTCCTAGCCTCATTACTTTGGCCCGCTCTCCTACATAAAACGTAAAAAAATCCATTGGCGTAGATAAACAAAAAAATTCCAGACTTGTTAGATGCGGTGGATGTATATATATCTTTAACATAAAATTTACTGTTTCAGTAAATGGGTACTTACTGTATCTTTTATTCTTTAATTTTTAATGATGGGGTGTTATTCAATGTCAATGCACAAGAAAATACTTTTTAAAACCCATTTTCCCAGGTTTTGATTAAACTTGACAAGCTTTTTTCTTTTAGATAAATTAAAGAACCATAGGCCTACCAAGTTTTATTGATCCATCTCTAACAGATTTAATTTTGTAGCCCATTCAAATTTTGATTCTAATGCCAAACACCACTCTTCCAAGACCCTGGGTTGGCAGAGTATTTTCAAATAAAAATGACAATTTTAATATTTATTAATGAAACTAGATGAAAATTAGTTTAAATGATTAAAATATGTTGGTTAGAGATAAAAAATGGATTAACACTCTAACTTCTCACAATATAACTTACCGGTACCTACCATTATTTTAAAAGTTGATGAATCAGACAAATGGAAATTCCCTTAGTCTGTGGACTTGCTGGAGGTAGGAGGCTATCTCATGATCTAGAGCAACCTTATAGGGTTGAATATAATATTCATGTGTTTTGAACAAGTTGATTATATCGAAGATAAAGTAGGCCTTTTTCTAAATAGGTCAGATTGCTTAGTTTGTTTCCAGTACTTTTAAATACAAGAGATATAGGTACCTTGAAATCTGACAGTTGTTGGTATCAAGTGGCCCGTTACTGACAGGAATGTTCCTAATGTCATAATCAGCTGATTGGTTATCTTCAATTAGCTGGAGTGCGCCACTTGTTCCTGGATTTGCCTGCTAATTAGTCAACAGGTCGTTGATCAGCGACTGCTAGACATTTCCACTAAATGCCTTACGGATATGTACTTCTGTTTACCTACTTCACTTTGCCAGTGTAGTTATATGTTTTCAATA